CGAGTTTTGTCTTGTTCTTGTGGATAGGTCTTGTGACCATTGTTGGTTCTTGCTGACTGGTCATGTGACCCTTTCTCATACTATGTGGTGACTTCGTGCTCCACCCTGAGATGTGTGTTGCTTCCATAGGACTACCATCAACTAAACTATGAGGGTGTGTAAACATATATGTTACATGTGCTATTTGTTTAGTCTAGGTGTTACATTGTCTTTCCCTGCATGGTTAGGGTCCATGGTCGACCCCGCAGCTGATGCGGGTGTAGCGGACACCTTGGAGGCAAGATTGGCTGATGCGAGAAAACGCCACGCGGATGGCGAGTACAGTACGATCCCCTTGACAATCGCCGAGTTGGGCATCCGGGCGCAGTGGGCGACGGAGCACCCTTCTCGTCCTACTTCTCTTCGACCGGTGCGAAACGAAAGTGGTGTCGATGACGAGGTCGACGGCGGTGCACGAGTCAGCGGCAGCGATGGCACGAAGAAGAAAGGGTGATTAAGGTCGACGGTGGCGTCGAAGTCGATGGTCGATGTCGCTCTCCTCTACAAAGCAGTGGAGGGCTCTCGGCAACGACGCACGTGACGGCGGGCGGGATCGCACCGGCGTATGGCTACTTCAAGTTTTTGTCGGACAGGATCACCGTCACACCGCTGCAAGGTCGACGGGACCTCATCACATGGAGGGAGGCGATAGAACCTCAGCTGGAGGTCGCCGGCTGAAGGGCTTTCCCTACATTCCGCTTGCGCTTACCTACTACGTGGAAGCTTCACAATGCTTTCCATGTTCAGCTACTGAAGCCCTACAAGGACCCCAACCAACAGTTCCAGAGACGGCAGCTACCGCCACCACTACAGGATGAAACAGAGTACGAAGTGGAACGCGTTCTCACTCATCAGCGTTGCGGCGTCAAGACCCTCGAGTTCCTGATACGCTGGAAGAGATACGACCCCACTGAGGACAGTTGGGTTGTAAAAGCTAATGTGGGCAACGCACGCCGTGCTCTCTAGGACTATCTTGTCAAGTAGGGTGTATCTCACGCCACCCAACTTTGAGGGGGGGACGTGTGAGAGTACGACGGCTTATGCCAGCTATGCTTGCTTGCCTTTACTTTATTACGCTATTTCTAGCTTAGGTTTATACTTACATGCAAGCTTTTGCTTGATTTCCTAGGCTAGGTGCTTTCCTATATTTTATTATAGTTTTAGCACCGAGCTAGGTTGCGTGCACTGAATTCCAGGCTTTTCGGTTGCCACCGAATTGCCTTCTACCGAATTCGGGAAGGCTCCATTCGGGACGCTTCGCGACCCTCGGAACCTTCGCGTAACACCTGGTTACTAGGCCTTGTGTCGAGACTATATATAGCCTCGTGTTGTACCCAGGTGAATCATTCAATTCAAACTCTCTTTTCTAAGCTCGATCCTAGATCCTCACAGAAGCCGACTGTGACGGGCAACCTCAACCACATGGAGCGACGTTATGCCTGGCTGCAGCACATGGTGAGGCGCGGGAAGTTCGTGCTGAAGTACATCTCTACCACCGAGCAGTCGACAGACTATCTGACGAAGGCGCTGCACTTACCGGCCTTCAACCGGTGCTCCGTCGCAGTCGGCCAAGTGCACCTGGCCAACGTCGGCGACGGGGAAGATAATGTGTTGCAGTAGGTGCCATGCCCTTCTGTACGGCTGGTGCGGTGATGGCGTGCTGTGTGTGGGGTGCACGACGAGGACGAGTTTTCTCCGTAAAGTACTGCTGTGTGGGCTGGGGAGCCCAAGCGTGAGCGCTACAGGGGGGTGTTAACGGGAATAGAGTGTTGGCCCCTCCCTCGCTTGGGCAACGCTGACGTCCTGGTCGGATGTACGGGAGAAGCAGCCGACCGTACGTAGTGAAGGAGCTGCTCGACAGGCCTCGTCGAGCTGCAGGGGATCGCTGCGGTATTGACATCGACCAGGGGGGCCTTCATCTGCGGGGCAGGTCAACGAGGTGGTCGTCGACCTGCACAAGACTGTCGCGGGGCTAGTGCCGTCGACCAGGGGTGCTCGACGGCTGCAGCTGACCAAGCTGGTTGACGGACAGGCCGTCAACCAGGAAGAGCAGCAATCGACGAGGGGAGCTCGGCGACAGCAGCTGCAGTGCTGGTCAACGGAGGGGTCCGTCGACCAGGGTGTTCCTCGACGGGAGCTGTGGTCTAGGAGGGAGGCGTCGACCCGAGCACTGGGTGGTCGACCAGGTCGACCAGGTAACCTGATCGGCGAGTTCTACGCAGGCACGCAAACGTCGCCGAGGTCGCGATGGCGAAGGCGACTCTGGTCTGTTATCCCAAAGTTGATGTGGCTCGTCAGGCGCAGATCAGGGCCGACGGATGAACAACAATGCAAGTCGGGCCAATCGTCTGCGCGCACCTACAGACATGCGCACTACAGTCTTCTATGGGTGCAACGCTGGACAGCCGCTCTGCTGCAGCGTTGGCACGCCGTCGACCTACCTTGTTGGCAGGTCGCGTCTCTGCACTGCTGGCGCGGCTCCTCTACGCAACGTTGGCAGGCGGTCGACCATGCAGAGCTGGCAGTCGACCAGGCTAGCTGTAGAGTTGCTAGGTGCTTGATGTAGTCATTCTTGTCATTGTGATTCATATCATTCTGTAATCTGAACTTTGCTAGTGGAAACTCTCGCCGATTTCTCCCGTGAATGAACAAGTGCTAAGGAACTAGGTAAAGCTACGATCACTCCTAGAGTTCGTGCCAACACCCCGTAGTCTAGCTCACGACTATTGTAGAGTGACTCTCCGCAGCCACGCACCTACAAGCTGCTGTCGCAAGAGGAAGGGCCCACGGGGCCGGCCGTCACTGGAAGTTTGTTCTGCGAAACTGCCCAGTACGGCACGTGGAATGCGTGGTGCGACAGGGCTTCGGGCGCGTTTCAAGCCGATCGCGGCTTCTATCTCGGCGCGTCAAAGACTGCGCACTTGGCGATAGCTTGGGTCGATCCAAGATTATACGAGCGGTTTTCTCGCAATATGCGAGCAAGTTGGCTACATGCACGAGGCAGAGCGATTTGATTGTTATGTTGGCGGGCTGAAGCTGGACATCTCGCACGAAATCATGCTTTGCAGACTTTCGAACTTCAACGAGATCCTCGCGCGAGCCGAGAAATCGACATTTTACACCGTCCGAGACCGGGGTCCTACTATAGACATCGCCCTCGAGGGCTGACCGAGCACGCCACCGTACATGCCGTTGCGGCGAACGCAGCTGCTGCACCATTCAAGGGGCGCTGCTTCGCTTGCAATAGGTCGGGCCATCGTAAGAGCGAGTGCCCAGAGGAGCTAAGGCGCCATGGAGCAGAGCAGGAGAGGGAGTCTGGAAGGTAGGGAAACGCCAACAATCAGTAGAGATCGGGCCCACTATTGACGAGACTCACTGCTTGCCCGACCCCACTGACCCTCATTGAGTCACAGTACCGATTTACGCAATCGATCGGGCTCGGCTGAATAAGGAGGGTATAGCGACGGATCGCCCAATACTGATTTACGGAAAAATACAGGGGGTTGCAGTGAAGATTTTTATTGACGGAGGAGCACGCCACGGCTTAGTTAATACCGCAACTGCATGGAAACTGCAACTGACACTTAGCCGCTACTTACCGGAGATCGATGCACGCTTAGTTGACGGCACGCCTCTGGCCGTACGGGGAAAAGTGGAGAGATTATAAGTTTGCTGCGGAGGAAGGGTTTACACAAGAAATGCTCGCGACGACACTTAATGGGCACGACATTTTACTGGGACGTGATTCGCTGCGACACTACAACCCACGAGTTGGCTAGATGACGGATAGCTGCACTGTGCGAAGTAGCGTTAACTGGGTTGAGCTACCTCGCTGGCGGTCACCTGAGTTTTCAACGGTCCACGTCAACGCCATCACGATGACGTGTATGCAGCAAACATCGCCTTGATAGAAGAAGCAGAGTAGCCGAATTATTTTCAGAAACTGCTGGCAGCCGTACCGCCCGAACTACAGAAATTACTGAAACGTTACCCAGGGTTTTTTCCAGACGACTTGCCGGAGGGACTGCCACCTCAGCAAGCACATGACCACCGAATAGAATTAGAGTCGGGAGCACAGCCAACCATACAGCGACAGTTCAGACTGACAAAGCCCGAGCTCGACGAACTTAGGAGGCAGTTAGATTACCTGTTGGAGAAAATATTCATCCGACCAAGCTCGTCACCGTTCGCCGCACCGATACTGTTCACACCGAAAAATGACAGAGGGTTCCGCATGCGTATCGACTACAGAGCACTGAATAGGGTAGCCGTCAAATCGCGACATCCCATTCCGCGCGCCGACGAAATGATAGACCAACTGCGAACAGCACTTTTTTTTTTCGAAGATCGACTTATGGGGAGGATACCATCAGATTAAAGTCGAACCATCGGGCTGCGCGAAGACAGTTTTTAGAATTAGATACGGATCCTTCGAGTACACGGTGATGCCTTCTGGGCTGACCAACACACCAGCGACTTTTCAGATGACCATGAACGAGGAGTTTAGGCCATTTTTTTATAATTGTGTGATCGTTTACCTAGACGAGATCCTGATCTACAGTCGCGATAAGCAGCGGCATTTACCGTATAGTGTCGGCTATAAGACCCGCCAGTATGAAGGTCCCCCGGGACTCTTGGATGGGTAGTTGGACTCTTATTGTGGCAGGTTTTGTGAGGACCCCCCCTTTGCCCATAATCATCATAAGACCCCCCCACCCTTCCCTTAAGTGCCCTTTCCAATCTGGTGAAGTTAACTGTTAAACCTACACACACATCTCTTCACTTCCTCGTCACTAGATCTAGGCATTACATGGCCAAGGTGGCTACGGTACCAGCACTCTACGTTACTGGCCCAAACATCTCTACCACCCCCCTACTCCTCACTCTTTGTCCGCGTCCTCCTCCAGCCCACCCTCTTCTTCCTCCTCCTCGTCTTCCTCCTCCTACCACCCCCCTACTCCTCACTCTTTGTCCGCGTCCTCCTCCAACCCACCCTCTTCCTCCTCCTCCTCGTCCTCCTCCTCCTCGTCCTCCACCTCCTTCTCCTCCTCCTCCTCCTCCTCCTCCTCCTCCTCCTCCTCCTCCTCCTCCTCCTCCTCCTCCTCCTCCTTTGCATCCATCTGGCCCTTTGCCTATGCATGGACGACGACTCCTGCACAAGAAACGACGCTCGTGGTAAAAAATCCGCCACAAATATTAACAAAACAGAAGCGTGAACCGATTGCAACTCACCTGCAGGGACCCGACTTTTCGGGATAGTTTTGCGCTTGAAGATCACCATGACAGGGAGCTTGCGGCCGTCCGCGGTGATGCGGAGCATCACTGTCACCCTCTCCTTCCCATAGCACGCGCTCCTGACGTGCACAGACTTCTCGCCGCGGTGATGAAGGGTGCGCTCGTTCGGCATCTCCAAGAACATCGGCGATTGGTCGGCGTTTGTAATATTCCAGGGATCTATGCCATGCTTTATTATGTTCTTCGGTGTGAACGCCCAAAACTCCAAACACTTCGACTTGCACTCTGCCACGAACGTTTACATCAAGATAGTTGGACATTAGTTATGGCAGTGGGTTGGACATTAATGTCACATGGCGTGGACCAAAGTATGGAAGCACACTTAGGTCGCGAACTACACGAATAACTCACCTTTAGCAAGACGCTTGCCCATCTTCGCGCGCACGGAAGCGGTAGGTCCACCTGTTGGACGCCATCCACCTCATGCCCGGGTAATGGGCCTTCATATAGCACCTGCTCCAATGCTTGATGAGCCGGATAGGGACGGCCAAGCCACGGCCGCGGAAGTTCAGCAGCCTCATGTATGCATGCGCCTCCATGTCAGGGTACTTCACCTTCCTCCTGCCCCCACTGAGGCGGCGCCTGGATGGTGCCGCTTTCTTTCTCCGTTCTGCCGCCCTGATCCACCGGCGGGCGCTGACTGGCTGCACCCCGGTGTGGCGGACAGAGAGTTTCTCCATGTCCATCTGCGCGAGCCAGTCCTGTTTCTCTCCCATCGTTTGCGCCTTGCGGCTGTGTGTAGTCTTGTGTGCGCGGGAACTCGATGACGCACTGTCGGCCCTGGATCGCGACCCGTTCTCGTCGTGGATGAGATCCTCAGAAAACGTCGGTACCGGGAAAGCCCAGACGTCGTCGTCCATCTCCTCATTCGTAGCGTTCTCCTCATCCTCGGCTGCGGGTTCGGGAAACCCCTCGTCCTCGACGGGTTCTAACGGAGGGTTGGTGCGCCAGTCGACGAAGGCCGGGGAAGCATAGGGGGGGGTGGAGGCGCAGGAGGAACCGGGGGGGCCGGAGGTGTCGGCGGTGCAGGTGGAGCTGGCGGGGCCGGGCTTGTGATGAGCACGATAGCTTGCTGGCCAGACGAACTGCCTAAGCTTGAACGGCACGAACGCCATGGGCTTTCGAAAACCGACATTGCTAATAGCTGCTACTGTTCTAATGGTAACTGCTTGCTTGAGTGGCAGTCGCCATAGCGTGCTATGTAGATGTGAAGGAAGCTGGAATGGCGGATCAGGATGTGAGACAGGGAAAAGAGAGAAATGAAGCTTGCTGCCTCCCGTGCTCGGCAGACTATGAGACGTGAAACCCTAGTGCACCACGTCCAATGCCTCTGCTAACACTGCCATCGGAGCCATACTGCTACAAGATTTCGGCAATAGCCAACAGCCCATCGTATACGAGTTTTGAAAACTGCATCCGTCCGAGAAAAATTACCCGATACACGACCGCGAAACGCTCGCGATCGTGCTTGCATTCAAATGCTGGCGCTGTTACTTGACTGGCGCCGACGTGACAGTACGGACATATCACAAATCACTACAGTACCTTCGCGCACAGCCCCACCTCAACCCACGACAGGTCCGCTGGCTCGATTTCATCGAGTCAAATTTCCACTACACAGTCACCTACAAAAAGGGGGCATCGAACATCGCTGACGCACTGACCCGCCTCACTGGCCAGATACACACCATACTACTCGCCCAAACCAGCCCACTGCTCACATGACTATTTACCCACAAACCAAGCAGACTTGTTCTTCACTGGAGGAAATTCGCAGCAGCAAAGGGGGTGTATTACGTAAAAGCTGGCACCAATAGGATCTGGGTACGGGGCTACACTTTACTACGGAAATTTCTAGTACAGGAGGCACGTGACGGAGTTACCACATGACATTTCGGAGTAAAAAATACACGGCAGCAGCTGCAGCGATATTATTACTGGTCCGAGATGCTGACCGACGTTCAAATACACGTGGCATCGTGTCCCACCTGCCAGCTCATGAAGTCGTCACGCAGCAACCAGCAGGAGAGTTGCAGCCGATACCACCCCTAGAGCGTGCTTGGCAGCAGGTGACGATGTTCGTCACGGGGTTACCGGCCGGAGAAAGTGGGAACGACGCTATCCTGGTCGCCGTCGATCCGCTCACCAAGACGGCATATTTCGCTGCCTGCAAGAAATCAATAACGGCCGAAGAAACTGCCTGACTCTTCATCTCCACCGTCATTCGACTGCACGGGATACCAGCGGCAATTATTAGCGATCGTGACACAAAGTTCACCGGCAACTCCTGGAGGAACCTGTGGCAGCAGTTCGGTACGCAACTACAGTTCAGCTCATCGTACCACCCCGAAACAGGCGGACAGACAGAACGGACAAACCAGACCATGGAACAGTTGATCCGAGCCACGTGCGACGATCCGGCAACATGGGAGCAGCAACTGCCTCTCATCAAATTCACATACAACAACTCCACATCGGCCAAGACGTAGTAGTCACCATTCTACCTCAACTACGGACAGAACCCCACTGTGCCCATGACTCCGAATCCCGACAACCCAGTACCACGTGCGCAACTGTTTGCGGAAATCCTACAGGCAGCATGGACCCGGGCACAATTAAGAAATCGAACATCATCGCTAAACGCACCGCCGATCGCCACCGCCGCCCCGTCACATACCAACCCGACGACCTCGTACTCCTCGACACCCAAAACCTCCGCCTGCCCATTACTCCAAAACTCCGCCCTCGATATTGTGGGCCATTCCGCATTAGCCACATGATCATTCTTGTCACTGCCCACCTCCTCCTCCCTGCTGACTGGTACGTCAGCCCGTCGTTCCACGTCAGCTTACTCCGCCCATACATCCGATCCACCAGCCAACCGCCTCGCAACCGCCCAGCCAGCATGAAACAACCGCCAACAGAGCCAATTGTCAGAATATGATATTGTGTAGGCTGTAGTGGGGTATGCTGTAGTGAGTACAACTCTGTTAGGGTTTTCTACTTGTATCCCACCTGCCTGTTAGTCAAACTCTCTTTTGCCTATTCTCTCTTGCCTAGCTTGCTAAACCCTAGCTATGGCTCCTGCGTTCTAGCTTCTATTTCAACATGCTATCAGAGCGGTTACGCTCCTGGCCTGTGGGCCCGCCTGCTTCCGCTGCCATACTGTCTGTCGCGCGCCCCGTGGCGCGCGACGTTCTTTTTTCTTCCGGCCACGCGCTCGGGGCGCGTGGCGGTTTTCTGCCCACCACGCGCTCGGGGCGCGTGGCGGTTTCCTGCCCGCCGCGCGCCCCGGGCGCGCGCGGCGGTTTTGTCGCTCGTCGCGGCGCCCCGGGGGCCCGCGCGCTGTCCCCTCCCGTCGCCCGTCGCGGCGTCCCGGGGGCCCGCGCGTCGCCCCCCTCTCCCGTCGCCCGTCGCGGTGCCCCGGGTGCCCGCGCGCCGCCCTACCCGTCGCCCGTCGCGGCGCCCTGGGGGCCCGCGCGTCGCCCCCCCCTCCCGTCGCCCGTCGCGGCGCCCTGGGGGCCCGTGCGCCGCCCTGCCCGTCGCCCGTCTCAGTGCCCTAGGGACCCCCGCGCCGCCCCACTTCTGCTCACACCCCGCCCCAGCTGCTGCCCGCGTTTCTGCCCCGCGTCGTGCGCGCGCCGCCTGCGTTGGGGTGTGGGGTGGCGGGTATGGGGGTGGCGGGTGTGTGAGCCGTCCCCTGCTCCTCCTCCTCCTCCTCCGTCTCCCACTGCTGCAGCTGCCGCTGAGGGGGGTGGGTGTGTGGGAGCCGAGGAAGTGGTGCTAGGGGGGTGTCGTAGGAGTGGAGCTAGGGGTGCAGCAAGGGGTGTGTGAAAGGGGTGTGGGACAGTTGGGGGAGGTTGAGCGGAGGTAGCCGTCGTGACGTCAGCAGCGCCAGTAGTCCGGGGCCCTTGCTCCGGTAGCCCAGCGAGCCAGTCGCTGCGCCAGTCGCCCGTGGGTCTGTTGCTCCTGCCGCTCGTCTTAGCCGCAGAGCCAGTTACTCCTGTAGTCCGAGGCCCTTGCTCCGGTAGCCACCGTGCGCGCCCCTCATGTTGCCCGTGTGTTTGCGGCTTCACCCGTCGCCTCCTATCTCCAGTCCTCTCACAGTCCCTCCTCCTCCTCACTTGCCCTCTGTGACTACCTCTAGCTTAGTTTGTGCTTGTGAACTTATTCTGTGACTGCGTGTTGTGCTGATTATACCCCACTTTGCCTATGGGGGTGTGTCAGAATATGATATTGTGTAGGCTGTAGTGGGGTATGCTGTAGTGAGTACAACCCTGTTAGGGTTTCCTAGTTGTATCCCACCTGCCTGTTAGTCAAACTCTCTTTTGCCCATTCTCTCTTGCCTAGCTTGCTAAACCCTAGCTATGGCTCCTGCGTTCTAGCTTCTGTTTCAACACCAATCATCACATCAGAAAAAATACGGAGCCACCGAGTACGTGACCCACGTGGAGCCCGCAGGATCGAATTTCCGATCCGTCGGAAAGACCCTATACTACCTGAAGATAACTGGGTGCCCCTCTGGATAGAATCGAAAACCACCCCGTCCTCACCGACTACCTGCGCAGCCGAAAGTTCCGAGATGTACACGCAGTCTCGTTAGGAGGGCCTCCTTGGGGAGGGGGGTAGTGTAAGGAAAATCCATTTTCCTTCTTTCGCGCCCCTGCTTACCGTGTACAGGACTGTTCTCGCCACCTGCACCCAACAGTAAAACGTTACCCGTCCGCGACACTCGCCTTGACCACTGTTTCCGCCACTGTACACCTCGCGACCCAACCTCACGGCTCGGTTGGTAACCCACGCTCTAGTTCTCCGCCTCGACATTTCCCAACCTCGGCGCTAGGCCCGTAGCGCACCCCAATTTCTCGCGTTATCGTTACCACGCTAGCTTCGCTATATATTTGTTATGCGCTGTATGAAAGAGGAGTGCACTGGATGCAATATCGCGGAAGTGATTACAACTACTGAATGAATAGCGAGGCATAGGGCAAATAAAGACATGGCTAGCTAGGCCGAGGTCGCGGGGCTGCGCAAGGTTGGGTGCAGGTTTGGGGTTGGAAAACCCGAAGGCGACGCGAGAGACGTTCGGAAGGCGAGGTCGTCGGACCGAGCCTGAATTCCGGAAAGTTGGAATTGTTCACGCATAGAGTGCCTCAGTAAGGAATTAGGATAATTCCTTACACTACCCCCACCCCCGCCCCCCCTCTTAAGGAAGGTGGTCAATATCAGGAAAGATAATCGCGTAATACCGAGTGGTCTTGCAGTGAGTTAGCCGAGACCCACGTGTCGTCTTCACTTGTGCGATCTACCCAGCGCAGTAGGAAATCGACGAGGCGTCCAGCCGGGGTCGCACGGTTGTGATGATTCAGAATCTTCCGGGGCTGTAGTGTCGGGTCTGCCATGGAGCGATTATCTGAATGTGTTATTTGTCTAGTCTGTAGTGGGGTACTCTATAGTGAGTACAGCCCGATTAGGGTTTGCTATATGTACTTCCCTGCTTACTAGTGCAACCCCTCTTTCCTGTTTTAACTTTCTAGTTGCTATTCTGACATGCTATCAGAGTGGTTACGCTCCTGGCCTGTGGGCCCGCCTGCTTCCGCTGCCATACTGTGTGTCGCGCGCCACTCATTTTTTCTTCCCGCCACGCGCTCGGGGCGAGCGGAAGCGGTTTCGTCGCCCGTCGTGGCGCCCCGGAGGCCCGCGCGCTGTCCCCTCC